AAAAAAAAAAAAGTTCCAATTCCCTAAAGGATAATAACAGATTTTTGTTTTCTATTACAGATTTCGAAGGGCAATTTTAGCCATGTTCAAATGCCAGACTCACCAAGCCATGTCCGTGACGTGCATTTTACCGATGGATGCATTTCAAAACCCACTGGATTCTGGAAGAAACTAAAATAAGAGGAAAGGAACACATGATTACAGTATTTTTATTTCCTTTTTTTTTGGTAATGGTTTTATTTCATTTCAAATATGAGCCAATTACGTTAAGTGTAGACAAATTACTGTCTGTGTCCAGCAGACTGTAAGTTCAAATGCAGCTCATGGTTGTTCTGTTTGTGCACTGGCTGCTGACGGAAATGTTCCTTTGCTTTCTTATATATAAACTTATTTCTCATCTTTGATGACTCCAGGCACAGGCCCAAAGGCCTTTCTGCTTGTTCCTATCATGGCTGACATCTACATATTCTCATAACCTGGTGACGCCCAAGTCCTTCATCAGACTAGAAGCAGCCTTTACTTTAATGTCAGAATAATAATAATAACAACAACAATAATAATAATAATAATAATAAATAGTGGTTTGTAGGCTTTAATAAACAAGCATTAAACTGAGTTGTTGGAGGTTCCCAGCTAGAATGGAAAACATTTTTGTCACATTTACAATTTCAAAATTTAATGCAATGATTAAATGCCATTGAACAAAAAACCCAAATATTATACTCTAGCATCAATAAATGACATGCCAACTAATGCACATGTATATTTTGTGTTCCAATATAATCTCTGTGCATATTATATATTCTCAATTGTTAACTGTCTTTTTTCTGTGTATCTATTTCCATATATTTGCTACTACACCCAAACTTTTTGTAAGTATGTTCTTTAGCATATCTTATTCTGTGTTTTATTTTTCTGTGGTGGCAAGAACATCTAACAGGAGAGCTTTCCTCATGATAAATGTTTAAGTGTACGATACATTACTGGTGACCAGAGCTATAATACTGTAAAGTTGTACTTCACCTCAATAAACGTAATGTGAAGAAAAATAAAATAAAGGAATGATAGAACACCCAATAAGCTTCAACACTCTGTATTTTTATTGTCACTGCAGATTGTCCATGTCAGATAGATGGAGGTTGCTTTTTTTATTATTTAAATTTTATTTTCTATTTGAATCTAGTATTTGTAGAAGGCATAAGAAATGAGCTTAAGATATGATTTGGTGCCCACTGCCTGGGAAGAAAGCTTGAGATAAGAACAGAGATAATGGCCTATTTTAGCAATGAAGGTGCCAGATGAGCCCTGGGGTGCTCATCTGAGACAACAGGGGGAGCCACAAAACAGCTCTTGCCGGGGTATGAGGAAGCCCTGCATGTGAGGGGCCGGTTGAGGCATCTGTGAACTGGACTTGTCTTTGTTTTTGGAGAGAGCCAACCGGTAGCTATGCTGATTGTCCTAAGTCCGCTGTGTCATGTGCTACTATCCTTAAAGTTCCCAAAACTAAACGTGACACGTTAGTAAAAACTTGAACGCGAAGTCCCATCTGTGATGTTATGTAAAAATCGACAGTTTCCTAACATGTAAGACATGGCTATTCTTTTTCAACAGTTCCTACAAAGTGTAATGCAACTGTCTACACTTACAGATGAGGGGTTTAATAGGCAACTCCTCACCGATCTGGATGTGGGCAGCTACAGAAACTGTCCTGTGTTGGCTGTTTGCTTCCCTTATGTTGGACCACATACAAAGGCTGGCTGGATCGCTCTGTGCAAGATACACTTGAAGGTTAAGTAACCACAGAGCTCAGCTAATCCCGCTAATCTGCTGTTGCTACGCGGTGCCCGCACCCCTCACACACGGCTTTCTGAAGGCTTAGGGTTTGGTTTCCACGCTCCTTCCGATAGCCTCTGTAGGGAGCGATGCATCGCCTGGCGTGTCTGTGTGTCCTGCTTAGTTTCTTGGAAGAAGTGGGCGGCACGTGTCCTTCCCGGTGCGCCTGTGATGGCAGCGAGGACGGCGCAGGACCCAGGTACCCGTCCCCACCGGCTAGGTGTCCCCGGAGAGGGACTCAGCCAACCTGCCTTACTTCGAAAGCGAACTGCCGAGAGGGAAGGGCTCGCTGACCTGAGCCCGGACTGCGTTAGCACTGGCTGCCCACTCCTGCCTGGGCCTCCCTGTGAGTAGCTGGGCTCTTGGAAGTCTCTCGTTATCTGAGACTTCCGAACACATTCTGTGTTACAAAAGTAGTCACTGCGCTTGGATTCACAAGATGTCCTTTTCAGGAGGGCAAACCACTGAGATGTGTGTGGCAGGCTCTGCACCTGCCCGTGGAGAGAGCACAAGTGGGCGGGCCCATCTGGGGTGTGACCTGCTGCTGCCCCTCCCCCGGGCCCCAGGGTCTTCCATTTCATTCTGAGGGTTATTCCCACCCCTGGAAGTGGGGGGTTGGATGCAAGAACAAAATTAGGGTGGTTGACAGCTCAAATTAAAAAAAAAATTATTTATGCATACAAAACTTGGGGTACAGGTCAGAGACGCAGAAAGGGAGAGGATTCACCAGAATCCAGAACAGGCAGATTGACTAAAATACACTGCTGAGGGGAGCAGCAGGCTCGACAGGAGAGGTCTGCTCACCATGTGGGTCAGCTCTCTGGCTGGGGATCAAACACGCACTGCAGTGGCAGTGGACTGCTTCATAGTGCCGCGCTTTAACTTAACCCTGCACCACCAAGGAGGGCCTGCTAATATTTTCATTTTTAAGACAATGGCACCAACAATGAAAGCTGGGGTCTACCCAGTCTGTGGCAGTGCCTTGGGGTGCTTTAACATCTACCTGTGATGTGAGAACAGTAATCCAAAGTATGCCTCTAGCTACCACCTCTCAATGAACATGAAAGGTATCTTGGTTTTTTGAGATTATATTTAATAATGGTCATTTTTTTTGTGACCTGGTTGAAGTGAACAGGGAAGCTCTTCAAGTAATCTGTGGGGGAAAAAGAAATCACCCAATTTCTTTCTTATAACACTGAACAAACATATTCTTGAGTAGTTGTGTTATTATGTTTAAATTCTACTTGGCCCACTCGAGCTATCTTATCATAATCACTAGGTGCTTAAAGAAACTGAGACGAACATAACAATTCAGAGATAAGCTGCAGTTACTGGCACAGACCAGGGCACTTCGGAGAAAACCATCTCAGAACCTTTCCTTCTCCCCTGTGGCTCCATCACTGATGGATTTTATACAACCAGAGAGTATTATGTCTGGCAAAAGCTCTAGAGAGAAACTAGTTCGACCACTGACATTTTATAAACAGAGAGACTAACTATGCCCGGTGCCAAGGCGCACAGTCCCTGCAGGGACTGGGGGCGGGGGGTTGGCTGTCGGGCAGGACTTATAGTTTCCCACCCATGCTGCACCCCGAGACGGCACCCTGGGATGCTGGCTGAGTGAGCAAATGCTCCTCTGAGCCTGGGCATTCCTTATAAAGCAGCTCTCTACTCTGGGGTACAGAATAGAGGAAGAGGAAGAGGCTAGAGAAGTGCAGTGGTTCACTTTTCTCCTGAATTTACAGATGGAACGAGAGACAGGCGATAGCTCGTCACATCTTTGTGCTGCCACGTTACAGTGCAGGCATTTAAATGCACTGCACAGGCTGCTACACTCTTCTCGTTTACCACATGTCTTGTAATTCGGATGATGCTTCGTAAATCGTTTTTTTATTTTTAATATTTATTTATGCATATAGCACTTGGGTACAGGCCAGAGATGCAGAAGTGGTGAGAGGCTTTGCCAGAGACAGAGTGGGGAGCAGAACAGGCAGATCTACTCAGATACACTGCTGAGGGGAGCAGCAGGCGGGTCAGAAGAGGTCTGCCGCGCCTTCTGGGTCACCCCTGGGGCCCGGGATGGAACTCACATGAAGCGGCTGTGCCAACTTGCAATGCTGTGTTCTAATCTGTTGTGCCATCAGGGAGGGCCTTGTAAAACTCTTTATGGCTCATTTCAGCAATTCTACGGGGAGAGGCGCTTGATGGGAGATAAAAAGATCATTCATTATGTAGGCTGAAATGAATCTAAAACCCCTGCTCCTTTGTATTTTGCACCGTAACACGTGGACAGGCTGGCTTTTCTCTGTCTGTTTTACCTTGAAACGAGGTCACAATGTGAGTTAGTTGAGGCCACTTAAGTTAGTGAGCTTCTGGTTGATTCTTTAGGCGGAGAGTGATGCGCACATCAGTGTTCACACAAACTAGCTTCTAGTGTGAAGCGTTTCTTCTGCTCTCCTTCACTCTTTCCTCTGGTAAAGTGCAGGGATCCTCAGAGCCTATCACTTCAGTCTGTGCCACACCTGACACCTCACATCTCATCCCCTGAGCAAGGGACAGCTGGAGCCCGCTGCACCACAGAGCTCACGTGCACGTCTGTGTGGGAAGGGGATGACTAACTCTCAGCACATGAGAATAAGGAATTTCTCCTTGTTTCAAGAGTGGCCTAGCAGAGGACAGAGCCAGGGTCAGGAGACGCACGAGTATGCTGTTCTTTCCCTTCTAGTGAGACGTCCTTCCGTCAGTTCTGTTGGACCGAGAGTAAAGTCCAAGGAACAAGAAGGGGGGACGGACAGAGGCAGGGAGAGCATGTTGTCCCGGGACAGACAGAGGGTGTGTGCCAGCGTGCACGCATGACTTCAGAGCACAGGCACAGGAAAAGTGAGTCGGCCAGCCTGGAGGAAGCCTGGCATGCGGAGAAGCAGAAGATCAGAGGAGTCGGAAAAGTAGGTAGAGCATCGTACTGTGAAGGACTTTTGACTCCAAGGTGAGAAACTTTTCCTAATTTGGTGGACAACAGAAAGCCTTGGAATGTTCGTGAGCAGGGGGCTCACAGATCAGAACTACTCTGACAAGGATGATTCTAGCCAGGGGATACGAGACAGACGGAAACTGGAGGAAACAGAAGGTGGGAGGACTCAACCATTACAGGAGCTTGAGTGACAAAGAAGGAGCAAAGCAGACTTCAGGATGGAAGGAGGAACCTGGAGGGCAGATCTGACCCCTGGTGACTGGTCCCACTGTGCAGCATTAGCGCTAGGCTGAAAGCACCCTCAGGTCACACTGTTAAAACAGAGTCTGAGCCCGTTTTCTCCCACCCTCTCCCTCCTTCCCCGCTTCCTTTCTCCGCCTCATTTTTCTTCCTTCCTCCGCCTCATTTTTCTTCCTTCCTCTCTACTAAAGTGATCCTTTGAGAAAGGATCAATTTATAACCCCAGCAAAAGATTCTGCTCAAGTGGGGTCTCTCCTAAAGGGGCTATGAATGTGCACTTTGGAGCTGGGACAGATGCGGGTTTGAAAGGTACCTCTGTAACGTGACCTTGGGTCCACCTAAGTGGCTGGCTAGCCGCAGTTGTTTTATCCACAATGATAACAGCGAACGCCTCTCAGTGCCTGTTAGGATCATTTAACATCCACTGCAACTAAGCAGCCTAACAGGGCCCTCCCTGGTGGCGCAATGGGTCAAAGCCCAGCACTACGAAGCTGGCCACAGCCACTTCAGCATGAACTTGATCCCCGGCCAGGGAGCTGACCCACAGTGCACAGCAGACCTCTCCTGACCCGCCCACTGCTCCCCTCAGCAGTGTGCTTCGTCGATCTCCCTGTTCTGCTCCCCACTCTGTCTCTGGTGATTTCTCTCACAGCCCCTGCACCTGTGGCCTGTACCCCAGTTCTCTATGCATGAATAAATCAATCTTAAAAAAAAAAAACAAGCAACTAAGCAGCTTAATGGTGCCACATGGGGACGTGAGGTTGAGAGGTCAGAGAAGTGGCCTTCCACGCCTCAGAAGAGGCAGAGCTGGGATCCGAACCCAGAGCTGCTGCCCTGCTCACATCAGTAAGACGGCAGAAGACACGTGTGCGGCACAGGCCTGGCACATACCAGTTCCGCTGATACCAGGTTGAGCTACGTGAAACTGATGCTTGATCATTTTTGACTTAAAAAAAGATCACACTATATGGTTTAACTCAGATGGTGATGAATTCCTGATGAATGGGTCAGCTAAGCTGAACAGATATTATGCAAAAAACCAGCAGGGAATGAAAACTTGATGCAGGTTTCAAATAAGTGGGTTTTCTTCAAATAGCCTTGAAAAGCAAGCTCCCCCCTTGCTCTGTTGTGCCTCTAGGTCTGTGCTGTGCAATGACCCGGATATGACCGAGGTCCCCACGAACTTCCCTGTGGACACTGTGAAGCTCCGCATAGAGAGGACGGCGGTGCGCAGAGTCCCGGCAGAGGCATTCTACTACCTGGTGGACCTCCAGTTCCTCTGGGCGACTTGCAACTCTGTGGCCAGCCTTGAGACCGGCAGCTTTTACAACCTGGGGCAGCTGCATGAGTTGCGCTTGGCTGGGAATGCTCTGGCTACCTTCCCTTGGGCATCTCTGCAGGACACGCCCCAGCTGAGGACCCTGGATTTGCACAATAACAGAATAGCCAGTGTGCCGAAGGAGGCCATCAGGCACCTGACTGGCCTCGCCTACTTGGATTTATCAAGCAACAGACTAACTACGCTGCCACCGGATTTCCTGGAGAGCTGGTCACACGTCCTTACATCGTCTAGAAGCCTGGACCCTTCACCAAGGAGAATGATCCTCGGTAAGCTGAGAAGTTCTGCCAGGGCTCCTCGGGCCCAGTTTGTGCCAACTTCCCCCAGTCTGTGCTGCCTTTTCAGGCCTGTCCTTGCACTTACGATGGAATTTTCACGTGACTTTATCAGCTCACCTAGGTCAATTTTCCCACCCACTCTGTAAGGTGGTGTGTGTGTGTGTGTGTGTGTGTGTGTGTGTACACACACCACAACAGGCTGTGCTCATAACTGAAGTGCTACTGTTGCTATAGACAGCGGACAGCCAGGAGACATCATCTACTACCCTGCCCCATCATGACCACTCAGACAGGCCCCCCCAAACCTTTGCGGCTTTCAACATTTCATCAGAAATGAGAGCTGGCTTGAGTACAGGCCCTTAGCGCCAGAGCCCACACTGCCAAAGCCCCATTCCCCTGCAATGTGAGGGCGTTATTTCCTTATTTCCTCATATATAAATTATTTTATTAATCTCTTTATTGCACATTTTTACTTAATAGGAAAGGAATCATGAGTAGTTTTCCAATTACTCTCTGGCTCGTCTACATAAGCAAAACTATCAACTTAACACAGGCACCTTTTCAGGTGGCCATAAAAATGTAAACTAGTATCCTGCATTAACTCTGAAACTGCATTCGATTTTTGATTGGCAATACAGGTGAATTTCCATGACCTGTTTCTCAAGAATGAGCAAATATTTACATAGGAGGACTCCATAAAGCCTAAGACTATTTATCTTGGAGGAAAACCCTGTAGTAGGAGAGGGCATGAAAAGCCATTTTGGGTGCTTTTTACTGCTGTCGAGTTAGCTCAACTGCAACAAGGGTGCCCTCCTATTCAGATGGAGTTTGCCTGAAGGGAAGAGGCATCCTCAGAATTTTCTAAAATGGCATTAATTTAGTTCAATAAATCCCCCTTTGTCCCCATTGCCTTCTTTGGGAAGGCCCAGAAGAGACATCCCCACATGGTGAAGGCAGGACTCCCTGGCAGTAACTCAGCTGCAGAATAACCCTACAAGGTGGGTCAGGAATGATCCTCACCCTCTTTTTCCAATTAGTGAACAATGCAAAGTCAAATTCACACAGAATCCCTGTAAGCAGAATCAGGTCACATGTACTCCCAAGCCTGGCTGCTCTCGTTCAGCATTACAGTTTTGAGATCCATCCGCGTCCCTGTTCCTGCCAGTTCCTCACTGCTATGTGCTAGCAGGTGTTATGACTGACTGAAGGTTCATCTTTTCTCCTCCTGCTGGACACATGGGTTTCCAATTTTTAGCTTCCGTGAATAAAACTGCTGTTAACATCCATGGACAATGCTTTTCGTAACAAGCTCTCATTTCTCTTGCATAGATTCCTCTGATTAAAGTTGCTAGATCATAGAATGTGTGTGTGTGTGTGTGGTATTTATAAATATAGAAATATTTATAAATACACATGTATGTGTGTGTGTGTGTGTGTGTGTGTGTGTGTGTAAACATAAACTTTTTTTTTAATGCCAGTTTTAAGCCTCCCTGGTGGCTTAAAGTCCATAAGGGTAAAGTCTCAGTGCCATCACTGTTACAGCCTGAGTTCCATCCCCCACCAGGGAGGTGACCCCCAAGGCGCGGCAGACCTCTTCTGTCTTGCCCGCTGCTCCCCTCAGCAGTGTACTTTATCCATCTGCCTGTTCTGCTCCCAACTCTGTCTCTGGTGAATCCTCTCATTTCCCTGGCATCTCTAGCCTGCACCCCAGTTCTTCAATGAAATTTTTAAAAAAGATTTTAAAAAGTTGCCAGTTTTCCAAGAGGCTCTACTGTTCTCCACTCCTACTGGCACTGTAGAACAATCTACCTGCCCCATCTCCTCACCAACACTTGATGCTGTCAGGTGTTTTCCATTTCAGTCATTCTTGGGGGACATTCATGGGCAGTGTTATAATGCGATTGTAACTTACATTTCTGCCATGCCTAAAGGTATTCACCATATTTTCATTTGTTTATTAGCCATACGTTCGTATTTATTCCTTTATGGTCTTCTCAGGTTGGTAGCCTTTCTATTACTGAACACAAGGATTCCCTCAGCTATTTGCAATTATGTGGCCTTGTTTATTCATTCCCTTCATGATATCTTCAGTAAGAAAGTTCTGACTTTCCATCACAGGTGACTTGGCAGCTTGTTCTTCTATAGCTAGTGCTTTCTGTATCCCACAGAAGAAATGTCTGCCTACCAACAGGTCCCAGAAATAATCTACTTCTTTACAGCTTTAGCTTTATAGTCTTAGCCTTCATGCTCATTATCGTGATCCATGTCCGAACAGTTTTTAGTACAATGTGAGATAGGGATGAGGGTTGTCTTTCTTTATTTTCAAACAGCAATCCAGTGTTCCAGCATGCTTAATGGAAGACTTCCCTCATTCACCTGAACTGTGAAACCCCACCGCTTCCACAACGTTGACGAAGGCATGGGCTTTGCTTCAAAAGCTTTTCATACAGAAAAGCTTTCGAGGGGAACTTATTGCTGACTTTTCACAAAGAATAGCACATTTAATCCAATTACTGTGATGCATGAAAAACACAACCTTTTTAGAAAGGCAAAGTTCATTTGCTTCTACACTAGAACAGTTATGTAAAATAAATTAATGCCAGTTCCTGTGATCATGGCTGGAGTGCTGAGAAGGAATGCAGGACAAGTAACAGTTTAACTTTAGAGAAGTCTTGTCCCTTTGTCCTCAGAAGAAAAACCACCTGCTGAATATGCTCAGTCTTCAGGTCATTGGTATTACTCAGGCTTTAACAGCTGGACTTGAACCTGTGATGTTTCAAAGCTGGGAGAGACAAACACTTAAAATGTTTTCCTGGTTTACACAAATTTTAGGGAGAAGGAACTGGATTTTTTTTTTAAAGGATTTTGCTTAACTTTTAACAGTTAATAATTATTTCAAAGCATGAATAAAACCATTAATGTTACAGCTCTTGCGTCTTTCCCAGCTGGACTTTCAAGTCCTTGTTTGCTGTTGCTGATATGCTAAGAGCTTTGCGGTCAGGATACAGAGGTACAAGCCCGGGCTGTATCCTTGTGACCTTGGGCAGATCTCTTAACCTTCCACAGTTCTGGAGAATGATTTCATATTCTACTCACACTGGGTCTGATTTTTGCTGTGAAGCTCTTTCTTCACTCCAGAAGTTCTAAAGGCTGGCATAAGAAACAGTTTTCACAGGGTAGCACTGCCCACACTCTAGAGCAGTCTGTAACTGGAATATTTGTGCCCCCAAATGCTCTCTAGTGCCCATGCTAATAACAGGTGACTCAGCTGCTGAACGTGTGCTGCTCCCTCTCCTCTGCTTTCCTCTAACATTTCCTCACTTTCTCTGGGCTCTCCCTGCCAGTACCCTGGAAGGCCACACACTGCCTAAGAATTCTGAAAGTTGCGGCAGATCTAGAAAGCACAGACAACAAAGGGTACCAGCTTTTTGCATTCCTCGCTGCTTATTCTCTCTTGAGGTGGGATGGCAGGAGGACTGTACCGCCATGGCCACCACCCTGACATTCACGCCCAGCCTGATGAGCTTCCAGTCTCTCCAAGCTCCTGACAATGCTCCCACCTCTCTATGCGTTTCTCACACAGAACATGTACTACCACGGCATGTCTTAAAACCACACAAAAGCATGACATATTTCAAGCTGAGCTAGGCGCCTCCACACCCTATAACAGAAGAATATAAGTATATTTACAGCAGCCTAGAGACATCCCAGATCACTGTACTTCTGTATTCCTGGATACAAATCTGGACTCAACACTGATTTGGTAATGTAACTGGCCAAGTTACCTGGTTTCTCTGTCTCAGCTTCTTCATCTTCAAGATGGGGATAATACTTTCTGCAAACAGGATTACTGTGATTAAGTGAGTTAATACAGGCAGGTGCTTAGAACAGAGTCTAGCATAGAGTAAATGCTCAGTAATTGTTCGCTATGCTCGTGAGTGATCTGGGCCATAAAAAACAGGTCCATTCAGCTCTCCCTGGTGCCACAATGGGTTAAAGCACCTCATTATGAAGCTCTCCAAAGCCACTGCAGCACGAGTTCGATCCCCCACCAAGTTGGTGACCCACAAAGCATGGCAGACCTCAGCTGACCTGCCCGCTGCTCCCCTCAGCAGTGTACTTCGTGAATCGGCCTGTTCTGCACCCCACTCTGTCTCTGGTGAATCCTCTCAACGCCCCTGCACCTCTGGCCTGTACCACAGTTCTGTATGCATAAATAAATAAATCTTTTAAAAATATGTCCATTCAACTGTGGAATTGCAGAGCAAAACAGAGATGACTCCATTTCATCCCTCAAAGTACTTATATTTTAGGGAGGGTGCAGATACTTGCTTCCCCAGGAAGATGTGATGTAAACCAGAACAACCTTTCCCAACCCTTTCCTCCTCTGGCTTAGGTCTGCAGGACAACCCTTGGTTATGTGACTGTCACATTTCAAAACTGATCGAGCTGTCAAAAATTGCTGCCCCTACTGTGATGTTCCTCGACCCACTGATGGTGTGCAGTGAGCCCGAGAGCCTGGCGGGGATTCTGTTTCAGCGGGCCGAGCTGGAAAAGTGTCTGAAGCCACTGGTGATGACCTCGGCCACCCAGATTACCTCTGCTCTGGGCAGCAACATCCTGCTGCGATGTGATGCCACTGGCCAACCCACCCCACAGCTCACATGGACCAGAGCCGACAGTGCACTCGTTAATTACACAGGTATGTTCTCAATTAAAGACTATGAAATCAGGGGTTCTCAAATGACTGAACTTTTAAAAAATATTTATTTATGCATAAAGAACTGGAGTTCAGACCAGAGGTGCAAGAGGTGAGAGGATTCAGCAGAGTCAGAGTGGGGAACAGAACAGGTAGATGTACTGAAATACACTGCTGAGGGGAGCAGCCGGCAAGTCAGGAGAGGTCTGCTGTGCCATGTGGGTCAGCTCCCTGGCTAACTTTTAATCTCATATTTCTGGATGATTTGCAATGGGCTGGTTAATTCCACTAATATATACCAAGCTAGGCCCTCCCTAGTGGTTCAGCCAGGGAGCTGAACCACATGACTAAGAGCTAAAAAGCCACTTCAGCATGAGTTTGATCGATGTTCCTGGAAGTGACCCACATGGCACCGCAGACCTCTTCAGTCCCATCCACTGCTCCCCTCAGCAGTGTGCTTCATCAGTCGGCTTTTTCTGCTCCCCAATCTCTCTGGTGAAGCCTCTCACCACCCCTGTAACTCTGGCCTGTACCCCAGCTCTGCATGCATAAATAAATCTTAAAAAAAAAAAAAAAGGTATACCAAGCTAGTTAGATGCAAGGAGTGTGAAGATACATTTTATTGGCTAAATTTTCCCCCACTTTAACTACTTAGATGAAATCAATCTACTTTTGTCTTAGGTGAATGAATGGTTACAGATGAGGCCTTTGTCTTGTTTATCCCAGATACGGCTCATTTTATAATTTTCACAAAAGGGGTGTTCTTACAAGTTCCTCATTTTAGAAACGTGATTTAAATAACAAAAAGTCCGTTTTTAGAAGACCAAGGACTGTTGTGCAGCTTGGACCCCCCCACCCCCCCCGGATGGAACCGTTCCCTGACACGTCTACACCACAGTGCTCTAAGGCACCCCCAGAGTCCACAACTAGTGGGACCACTATCACTCAACTAAGCTCCTCAACGCTTCAGGGTCACCGGAGAGCCACACATTTGGGGTGCTCGTGCGCGGGGTCCCCCCCGCTTGGTGGCGGTAGAAGCAGGGATACACCACACATACACCAGCTCCTGGCCACCTCTGGGGCGTCACGCAAACCCTGCCAGCTCATCCACACCTGCTTCCTCACCTGGCCGCCGCGGCCCCGCCCCTGAACTCCGCGAGGCCGGCGCTACTGCAGCACCTGACCCAGGACACCAGCCCCCCAGAACACCCTTCACGGCCCTGCCGGACATCACTCACCCGGCTGCTGCAAGCCCAGCGCCAAGGCCAAGTGCCTCCCCAGTGGAGGCGCCCTTCCAGGTACAAGTTTAGCTGAAGCGGCAGCAACCTGCGAGCACGCGAGGCAGACGAGGGCTTTGCAACATGGAGCATGCGCACTGGAGCACCGGGCATGCGCACTAGAACACGGGGCATGCGCACTAGAACACGGGGCATGCGCACTCGGCACCGGGCACGTGCACTGGAGCACCGGCCCGCGCTGGCGCATGCGCACTTCACAAACAACGCCTGTCCCCCAGCACCACCATAGGTGCGAGGCTGTCTGGGGTTTGTGAACCACTACAAGGTCCCAGCTGCCGCCCTTCTGCTTGGATATGCTGATCAGGGCACCAGCACTGGTGGCGCTCCAGACCCTCACCCACAGAGCCTGCTGGGATCGCCCCAACGCTGGAGGCAAGGACCTCCAGGGCTGGCTCCTGAGCCGTGGGGTACCCAAGGAGAGGGTGCATCAGCTGCCCACCTGGGTCCTCTTGGAGCTGCAGCTTGTATTTTAAAGTCTTCAGAATTAAATTCACATCGAAGTGAAAGAGTGAAACCTGATGAAATGTTTTCAAAAGTCAATGCCTAATATTCTACAATGCCTAATATTCTACAGCCCCGAGGTGAGGTAGTGAGAAAAGTTGGAATCAGTGCACTGTTATTCTTCAGAAAGCGTCAGCAACCAAGACAGGTTGGGGATATATTCAGAATGGGAAGGCAGATTTTCACTTTTCTAAAAACTATGTTATTCTACAAGTAAAAGAATCCATGGTTTATGCGTTTATCTAAATTGAATTTAAAGTGGAACAGTGAGATCACAAACTATAACTCCTGCCGGCCCAAGGATGAGCAGCCATGCTTCCTGGCTATGGGGGTAGATAGCATTTCATCACAGTGAAAAGTTAATCGGGAAGTGTTTCAATCAGGCTGGTGATCAACGCTTTATAGAATCACAATGAGGGTTAAAACTGCAAGTGATCTTCAAGATCCCCTTGTCTTAACTCCATACTAAAAGGCCTAAAGACTTGAGTGGACTTGTCTAAAGTCACAAGGCAAAAGTGTACTAAGGCCAAGTCTCCAATTCATTTTAAAAATACCATTTCCCTGGGCTCCCTGGTAGCGCAAGGGTTAACATCTCAAGCTATCACGCTATCACCACTTGGTTTAAGTTTGATACCTGGTCAGGGAGGTGACCCACATGGCTCAGCAGACCTCTCGGATCTCACCAGCTGCTCCCCTCAGCAGTGTAGGTCCGCTGTTCTGCTCCCCACTCTGTCTCTGGTGAATTCTTTTACCTGCTGCACCGCTGCCCTGAACCCCAGTTCTTGTATGCATAAATAAATAAATAATACATTATGCCAAATAAATAAATAAAATAAAAATACCATATCCCTAAGTCAGAAAGAAAAGGAAAAATACCAGATGATACCACATGAAGGAGGAACATAGGGAATACTTATAGGTAACTTTACATATGAGGCACACAGCAAGAGAGGCAGAGGGAGAGAGGAGTCAAAACAGGGGAGGGAAGATCGCAAAGGGCTGTGGGGATGGATCACAGGTGCTGTGGTGGTGGGAGATTTCAAGACTACACCTGAGGGGAGAAAGCAAATACTGTACGAAAATGAACAACAATGTTAAGAAAATGAAAACTTGATAAAATAAATAAATAAAAATGCCATTTCCCATCCCTCCATGGCACCTATGTGACTGAAATCTTCACGTGAACAATTTACAGAACCCCCCACCAGCCCTCAGTCATGGGTGTGCCCGTCCTCCCTTGGCTGCTGCGAGAGGGGTGCATGGAGAACCCGCACAGCTTCCTTTTCCAAGGGCGTGACGCTTAAGTCTTTCCTCTTCTTACCGAATGTACTCTCTTCCCTTCCAGTAATTCAGGAGTCTCCAGGGGAAGGCATCCGATGGTCCATAATGAGCTTGCCAGGCATTTCTACCAAGGATGCTGGAGATTACAAATGTAAGGCCAAAAATTTGGCTGGGTCTTCAGAAGCCGTGGTCACCGTGACAGTGCTTGGTGGTGGCTCAGCCGTATCACCAGACTCACCCGGGGAAACTGGAGATCGCTCTGGGCAAGAGGTTCACACAGGACCCAGAAGACCCATGTCCACACCCGGTCCGTCCTCCACGGCCTGGCCGCCTTCCTCCTTTGCTTCTTCCACTCCCCTCTATCCTGTAACTCCGTTCTCTCCCTCCAGCATGTCCTTCTCCTCACCGCCTTCAGCCTCAACTCTAAGCACCAGCATTTCAATTTCAGCAAGTACTGTCCTGGCCGACCAGCAGCCCCTCCTGCACCACCTGGATGGGAAAAGCGATTCCAAAGTGGAGAGGAGTGGAAATGCGCTTCCCGCAGCCAGTACAAGTGAGAAGGAAGAGCTGTCAGAGGGAGCGTTGCCTGTGGGGACGGATGCCACAGTAGAAAACGTCAGGGTGGCCAGCCAGACACGAGAGAGCGTGACTCTGACGTGGAACGTGGTCAACCCCACGCCCAACTGGGAGGTGACTGTGTCGTATTCCAAATTCGGGGAGGAGGCCCCACGGCTGCTGATCACAGACTCCAGCAAGAACCAGGTGACCCTGGAAGGCCTAGTGCCTGGCGGGCAGTACCTGGCGTGTGTCTGCCTGTCAGGAACGCAGCCCCACAAGGACCAGTGTGTCACCTTTGCCACAGACAGTGCTGAGGGGGGCACCGCTCCAGGCCCCTTCCTCGTGCTGAGCGCTATAGCCTGTGGGATTATCTTGCCGGTGCTTTTTTTCCTGCTGTATAAAGTTTGCAAACTGCAATGTAAGTCAGACTCCTTCTGGGAAGATGATTTGACCAAGGAGACTTATATCCAATTTGAGACCCCGTCCCCCAGGCGTCCAAGTATAGGGGAACCTTGGGTACGGAAGCACAGAGACGATTGCGAAAAATTGCTGCTTTGCTCTAGGTCAAGTGTGGAATCTCAGGCGCCTTTTAAAAGTGAAGCGTCTAGACCAGACTATTACTGCTGAGGTTTTATGGCTCAAGTTCTTGTCAACGTCACAAAATTTTTTCCAGAACATGAAGGAAGGATGTAAGCATTCAGCTGTCTGGATGACTTTTGCATGGACTGAGGTTACAATCACAAATAGAATGCTTTTAGGTATATCCTAAAAAGCATCATGAGATGCTTTCAGTTCAGAAGAACTGAAAAGACAAGTAATCTTGGTTTCAGGCTGTCTGGAAGATGTCCATAGACGTATTTTGTGGCCCTCCCTGGTGGCGAAGCGGTTGGAGCACTGCACTGTAAAGCTAAGCCACACTGTGACTGCTTGAGTGCGAGTTCGATCCCTGGCCTGGAGGTGACCCACATGGTCACCTCCTGTCTCACCCGCTGCTCCCCTCAGCAGTATACTTCATCGATCTGCCTGTTCTGCTCCCCACTCTGTCTCTGGTGGATCGTCTCACCATCCCTGCACCTCTGGCCTGCACCCCAGTTCTGTATGCATACATAAATAAAATCTTTAAAAAATATATTTTGCAAGACAGTGCTTAATAAGTTAATGTGTTAACTTTATAATAATCTAATATGTTAGGGTTATTTTTGGTTCTTCAAAACAAATTCATGTGAAAATAGTCATAAACAGTGAACTCTGAAATTTTTTTATTACTATAGTTTTTAATTTTTACATAAAAGAACTAGGGTGTAAGCCAGAGGTGCAGGGGGTGAGAGGACTTTACCAGATACAGAGTAGGGAGCAGAACAGGCGGATCTACTAAAATATACTGCTGAGGGTTGCTGTGGGCATGTCAGGAGGGGTCTGCCATGCCATGTGGGTCAGCTCCTCAGCTGGGGATTGAACTCAGGCAGTTTTGGTGACAGCACTGAGGCTTTAGCTGTTTTGGTGACAGCACTGAGGGTTTACCCTGAAGCCACCTGGGAGGCCCCAGACCTGTGACTTCCAAAATGATTGATAATGAATAAAGCGCTGGTACTTATTTAAGTTCAAAGCGCTCTGTGGCATTTGCTGGGCTTGACCCTAGCCAAGAATGGCTAGGTAGTACAGAATTTTGTTCTCCCTGAGGTGAAATCCAAACTAAATGCTTAAAGAGGGCTCCAGTTCTTGGTACCATTAAGTTTCAAAGACTGTGCACTGTTTTCCTATAGGTGAACTTCACAGGCTCTTGATTTGTTCTTTGATTTTATCAGTAGCCTCCAACTGAAAGTTAACTAAGAGTGAGTAATTGTGAAAAGCTCCAAGCAGTGTTACGTGTTAGAAAAACAACTAGAACGATCAAATGAGGTTCCACTTTAGCATGAACTTATTCTAGAAAGCTCAACTGGCCCAAGTCTTCAATCCAGTCATCAGATTCACTCCTACGCCCCCCAACTTTGCTCTCAGGTAGCCTCCCTGTCCTCACCAAGAACTGCTTGGACAGCTCTGGTGGCAAGCAGGGGTGTCCCTGGCCTTGGGGCTCAGTTGCCACAGACTCAGTTCTCCCTGTGATGGTGGCATCTGAGAGCTATAAGCTGGTGTAGTCCCTGGTCAACTGGGACAGTCAGTGGGGTCTCCTCTGCTTCCCCTTCTCGGTGGTGGCCACACTTATTTCTAGGGTGGCAGCGACCCAGCCAAATTTCTCCATTCCCCTCAGGTATTCCCCAGAATTTTCCAAAGGATCAAATGGGTTTTTAACCTTGGAGCAATACCGTATTTAGAGATGACATGTACAAAGGAAAGGCACTTTACAAAACCATCAGCTTCCTGGGAATGAGAGTACAAAATGGATCAAGCACTTTGGAAAATGTTTGGCAGCTTCTTATGAAGTTAAACATATACTCACCCTACGAACTAGTAATTAGGTATTAACTGAAGAGCATTGAAAACCTGGAACAATGTCCTTCAGCTGGAGAAAAGACGAATATTGTATATTCATAGAAGAGAGTATTTTTCAGAAATAAAAAAGAAATATTGATCCATTCAACAATGTGGATGAATATCAAAAACATAATATTGAACCAAAAGAGTCACACAAAAGTGACTACTGTGATGGCATTTTTACAAAGCTTAGGAATAGGCAAAACTAACCTATGCTGATAGAAAAAGAAGAATGTTTGCCCATGAAAGTGGGTGGGATTGATAGGAAAAAGCAGCAGACAGTTTCAACAGTAACGGACCATTTTGCGGGGAGGTTGAGGTGTTAGTTTAACATGTATATGCATTTACCAAACCATCAGATTTTACAGTTCAAATCAGCTCACAGATGCAAATTTTATTTGAATAAAAATAAAAGATGATTGCAGCTCAACTGAAAGTCACACTGGGAAAAAAATCAAATGAAAGCCACTTAATTCTGTTGTCTGGCGTTTGAAGCTTGAACAGTGTATCATTTGCTGAAATATTTCTCCTCCACCATCTGTTTTGTACACTGTGCCAGCGTGGAGTGGCTGATCGAGACCGTTTTCCCACTGATCATCTCTGTCCTAATACTACTTCACAATTTTGTGAATAAAGGAGCAAAGGGTAAGTTGAAAACTAAGATTTGCCTTTTTTGTGAGTTTCCGGCAAACTGTTCAAACATGACATGAACTTTTGCATCTCACACTTTATACTCGCTGGAGCTCTGCTTCTCATAGATTCAGCTGAATTAAAGGTCAGGGGAAAGACTACTGTGGAGGACAGAAAGCCAGGTTTCTGTCCCTACCTTGACATGTTTAGAAGTTAAAATATCTGAGAGAAGAATGAAGGAGACGCTTGGAAATTTGGTAAACAAATGTGC